CCCGTGGGCCGCGTGCGCCGGCTGCTCCGCAGGGGCAACTACGCGGAGCGGGTGGGCGCCGGCGCCCCGGTGTACCTGGCGGCCGTGCTGGAGTACCTGACGGCCGAGATCCTGGAGCTGGCGGGCAACGCGGCCCGCGACAACAAGAAGACGCGCATCATCCCCCGCCACCTGCAGCTGGCCATCCGCAACGACGAGGAGCTCAACAAGCTGCTGGGCAAGGTGACGATCGCGCAGGGCGGTGTGCTGCCCAACATCCAGGCCGTGCTGCTGCCTAAGAAGACCGACAGCCACAAAGCTAAGAGCAAATAAATTGGGCCTGGAGAAGCATCCCGAGCACAGAAACGAAACCCAAAGGCTCTTTTCAGAGCCACCCACAGTCTCGACGAGGAGCTGAAACGCTGAGCGGGCAGCAGAGGAGCAGCGTGCAGTTTTTCAGCGGAAGGAGGACAAGTTTGGTATGTTAGAGGACGGGGATTTTACTTTGTATGGCCGGGAGGCCTGTATTTTCCTTTTCAGCCCCAGCCTGCGGGCGGAGCGTTGTGCTGCGCTCTCGTGGAGGTGGCGTTCGGGTGGAGGAGGGTGGTAGGGATTGTTGCGTCCCTTCTCGGGGGCGGAGTAGAGCGACTAAAGTTTTGCAAATCCTTTCGGGCTAAATTAAGCGTTTCGTTTATAATGCAAGTAATTTGGACCTATAAAAAGTAAACAATTTAAACTTTGAAAATGTAAAAACGTTGGTCTGTGGGATTTTAGGAGATGTCTTGGTGGCATTACAATGTCAGACCCGACAAGCGGAAGGGGGAACATCCCTTAAAGATGTAGTGAAAGGTTTTTTACGCTGCTTTGTCGAGAGCTTCGAAGTGGGAAATTATAATAATGAAACAATTAGATAAAACACATTCCCTTATGGTGTAGAATATATGGATGTAAATTCTGGCGAGAAAGAGACAGTATTGTGTGCCCCATTGAGGTATCAATGGGAAAACAGCGACTCGGACTCCTCAGCAGGTGAGTCTGAACACAGTTAAAATTGAGGAGTCAGGTAGCCAGCTCTTAATTAAACTTGAAGTGATGGGTAGTGAAGGTAATTGTATGCTGTGCACTGCTTTTGGAGTAACCTGGGCTCACATAAATCCACTGAAATTCGAGACGGCAAAAACAATGGGTACAGCCGATCTCGCTGAAGTGACAAAGCTAAGTACATCAGAAACTGAAGCTGAGGTTGCTAAAGCTTCTTCAGAGGCAGAACGAAGAGTAACTGAACAATTCAAAGTTGAAAATATGTTATTGAGAGCTGAATTAGATTCTAAAAGGAAAAAGAGCAAGCGATTACAAGAGAAATTGAACTTGTTATCATATGCTCTGACTCACTCTCCCACTCCAGTCAAGAATTCAGTTGTGTGTCGGTCCTTGTCCTGGGGACGGGCCGGTGGACACCAGCCACCTTAGACTCCTCATCCGGGGAATGCCCGTTGCTTTAAACATACACATGCAGATCCTCAGGGAACAAAACCGGAGCGCCGTGCACACGCTGCCCAGGATAGCAGCGCCGCACAGCGCGAGTACTCACGGACACGAAATGGGGTGGGCGGGAGCGGGGGGTTCCGGAGAGCTCTCCGTAGGCCCCGCCCCGATGAGACCTTCCCCGGTACTCAAAGTCCACCCGCGGCCGGGCGGGACGAGCGGTGGTGTGGAGCTGAGCAGGCTGGGGCTGGGGCGGAAGGCATCGGCGTTAGGGGCACCTCAAGGGCGGCACCGAGCTAGGGGGAGAAATCGAGAGTACAACGAGAGTTCGGCAGCACCTCTCTGCCCCAAGTCGGGAAGTGAAACCTTAACCCTTCCATCTCTTTGCGAAGGGAAAAACTAAAAGCTGTGGTTTGGGGCTCGGGCTGCCCAGACTGCCTAGTAAACCACCAAATCCACACTAGGTAGACTGTCCCACTGTTTTGACCTTTACCTATGTTATTCTGTTTATTTTTTATCCAGTAATAGGAAAAAGAAAACTACTTAGGATATATGGTAACCTTGACTATGTGGAAGTTGTTTGTATTATTGTAAAATGTTGTACTGAAAGTTTATTTCTTAGTCCTTCTCACTGCTCCTGGTGAGACTTGAGGAGAGGAACCCTCAGACTTAGCATGGGAGTTAATCCACGGTTCTGTGCATATTTGGAGTCACACAGACCAATGTGTTTGTATAGTGTTACTTGAGTATGCAAGAAATATAATTCAATTTGGCCTTATAAGTATAGATTTTACCAGTATTGTGAATACCTCAGGTAACATCTCACATAATTAAAAACATATTTTGAGCAAAATCTGAGAGGACCATATTCAGCTCTGCCAACTCCCCCAGATGACCTAAAAACCTACCTTCTTCAAGGGTCAGTGGATGGTAACTTCTCTTTCTTGTGGTAAGATAACTGTTGGGAATGGGAGAACAATTGGACAGTAACTGTAATTTCACTGCACAAAAATTATGGAATTTTCTAAATAACACTGGGATGAGACTTGGTTTATACCAGAATTAATAACATTTATCTAAGACGTGTACTTGTTGGGTTTATCTTATGTATACTTATCCAACTCCTTATGGTACATTCTGGGAATTGTTACAGAAATATCAGATCAATAACTTTCTAAGACCAATTTGTAGGAGTTAGAAAGCAAGACATTCTTTAATTCAGTGCTGGGAGTGTGAGAAACTACAGTAACTACAGGAGGCTATTTTACTTCAGGTAGTGACTCGATCTCCCCAACCCTGGAGTCTCAAATACTTCCAGACCCCAGTACCTTCAGGAGGCTGCTTAGAGTTCACAAACTCCACTCTCTCCCCTCTCCACTCACATTCAAATTCCACATTCGCTTAGTCCGGTCACCGGCCATTCCCCTTGTGGAGATATGAAACTGCGGTTAAAAGGACTCCTCACTCGCTTTGTGCTGTTCCTGCAAGTCTCAATCTCTCACACGCACACTTCCATTCACACTTAACCGCCCGGTAATACTTAACGGTCTCTTTTCTTACTGGGTCCTGTGCATGGGTTTTAACAGTTGCCACGGATGAACCCCCGGAATTGGCCTCAGGTACCAACCCAGTACCTTCCCTTTGGTTCACATCATCAGTCCTGGGTCTTCTGTCGCAACCAGCCGCCAGAAAGGGTTCAAGCATCTGGACCGCCAAATGGGCAGGGCACACCTTCCAGTCGGGTTGCTCCCTCCTAGCCGAGCTGCGGACTTCAGATCCCAGACGAGCCCCAAGTTGTGGGAAACGCACTCACAAAATGCAAATATAGAGACAGATAAATTCTGTGAAGCAAAGGTTTATTAGCAGCATGCTGGGTGCATTCAGGAAGTGGAATGCCTGAAAAGCACGCCTGCTAATAGGTTGAGGTTTATTTATAGTAACATTCATTATCGTAGCAATACATTTTTTACTAAGTTATTTACATATTCAACAGTTTTCCAGGGAGATCTTTAACATAAGTTTCCGCCCATTGTCGCATACACACTAAAATTCTGGGGTGGTCGTTGAGGGTCATGAAGATGAAGGCTCATTGTCTTCATCACTGTAAACTTTTCACCTTTATTGTCTCTGTGTAACTAGTCATGATTTAAGTCGGTTTCTTGCAGCTGTGTTAGCTCATTAGTTCCTAGTCTTCAAGGATGTTCTGCTTATATTAGCTTTGAAACACCCTCCTTTCTGTTTTTAAGATTTACCTCTGTCTGTGAATGTAGAAATCTTCCAGGCTTTGATGGATATACAACCTTCACAGATACTCTAGAAGTTACCAACTCCATCTGAATTCCCCCCCCCCTTTTTTTTCTTTTCTATATACAATGTGAATTCTTTCGCTTCCCATTGTACCCCATTACCAATTAGGGTTTTACTGACTATTTGGTAAGATTCTCAACCTGTTATGTTCCAAAGCACCACATCTTATAAAACTTATTTCAAGAATTTAGCCATGTTTCTATACCCTAGTGCTTTAACAAATTACTTCCCACACATGATTTCTCACAGGAGCATACATGTATCATTTCATAAATTGCATGCTCAAGGCATTAGTGGTTGCCAGTAGCTTATATGTGCCTTACACATACATATTCATGACAAAGTTTATATATGTATTACATTTTCAGTAAAAAGTTTACATATACACTACATTTCTCATAACTAATTAAAATATCTGCATAGTGATTGTGCACGCTCGATTAGCATGCAGAATGGTCTTCCAGTGGTCTGAGGAATAGTCACTTAAGCTGTGTAGTCTTTAAGGCTCCCGCGCATAAGCCTGACTCGTCAAGCTGGTCTGAGTAGGTTGGTTCATTAACTTCTTATCTATGCCTCCATCTT